CCCTGCGACCAAAATAGTTGGCGAGGTGAGTGGGTCGAAACCAAATATGTATTGATATTATATGTATGTATTAAGTAGAACCATTTTTTTTTTGCAAACATTTGTGTAGCTGTTAGAAATTGTATGCGTAAATTAATAGAGATGTTAAGTGCAATATTTTTTTATATTTATTTTGTTTTTTTGTTTTATAAATCTTTACAAGTAGTTTAATATAATTTGACACCATTTCTGTATGCATTTATCTTTTTAAACGTCTGGTCAGTCTTTCGTGTTCAAACAAATATCTGAGGAGCATGTTATGTGCTTTTTTAAATAGCATTATATTTGATTTTGTCTTTATTTAAATTTTTTTACACTCAGTAGGTACTTAGGCAGTTGAAATTACTAACTCAAGTTGACCTTTATTCAACCAAAGATTACTGTAATATTCGTAGTAAATTGAATGTAAAAGTTTCATTCGTATTTGCCGGAGCTGAAATCCTCGCTAGGTAGAAGTAATTTACTGTGTAATTCATTCTGCAGTATCTGATAAATACAAATGAGTAGAAAGCACTACATACAAACTCTTCCTTTCACTTAAAGACAAAAGGTACGGCGGAAACTAAATGCCGTTCTCGTAGTTTTGTTCCCAAGAACACTTAAAAACCGCAACCGTAATGAGAACAAAGCTGTCGAGGACTTTCTCAATGGGATTTATGGAACAACAAAACCTCGCGGAACGTTACCAAAGAGAACAAAAGTGCGAACAATACTTTCGGGAACAAAATGGGAACAAAAGTCTCCGCAACGTTTTAGCAAACAACAAAACGAGAACAAAAGCCTAAGGAACTTGCTCTCTAAGAACAATTTGGGAACTAAAGTATCAGGAACTTTCTAGCAGAGAATAAAACGGGAACAAATCTTCTCTTAACTATTCAAGAAGAATGGAAGCAAGAACAAAATTTTTCTCACAGCATGCCATTAGTATGAAATGTGCGAATATTAAAATGAATCAAAAAAGAACTAACAAATAAATATGCAATAAAGTCAACGAAAAGCTTAAGATATGACCTTTTCTTGCACAGAAAATGAAAAATTGTTCCATAAATAGACAGTTCGCCTTAAGTTCTCAAAACGTTTGTTCTCTAGCAGAACGTTTCCCTGATGTTTGTTCTTATTTGATCCTACTTGGAAATGTTCCCGATACTTTATTTTTCTTTCTTTGTTCTCATTGCGAACGTTCCCGAGAGTTTTGTTAGTAGTTTGTTCTTTACGGAAATGTTCCCGAACCTTTTGTTCTCATTTTGTTCCCGTTTAAACTGCTCTCAATAACATGTGGTCAATTAATTAAGTTAGCGACATGTTGACCACTTTTGGCTTAATATTTTTTAGTACAACACTTCAAACTTTCTACAAGAATTATAAAATTTCAACAAGTTTTCACTAAAATTTTAGATTTTTGATTCAGAATTTTTAGAAAAATTTTAAAGATGCATTAGATTTTAATATAAAAAGTGCACGTTTAAATCGACAAGCGTTGATTTTTTAAATTTTTTTTTTGCTAACAAATGAAATTTCGAGCATACTTTTTTATCTAAGTAACGGTAAATCCAAGCTACTTCAAACTTTCACTTTTTTATACTAAAATTTAATGAGCTAGAAAGCTGCATACTCCAAATCATTCTTCGAAATCAAATTATTTTTTCTTAATATTGCACAAAGTTTGACACTTGGATTTACACGGTTTTTGTTAAAGAATAAACTATATTTTTTTTAGTAACTTAAATTATAAAACAAAACAAAATGGTTAAAACTTGTCAGTATTTGGTGCATTTACAATATTGACACGGAGTGTATACTGAGCTTTTACGTACGGGTACATCATAATTTACTATGACGAAAATTCAGTCGGAACTTTCATCTGGTACTAAAGCTAACTTTGAAGGTACATGTAGTTTTAGTTGAGAGTCATGCCCGAAAATCGTATCTTTAGTGGTTAATTTTAAAAGCTTTTTGATGCCAGCTTAAAGCTTTAAGCTTTCGATATACTGCCAAAGCGAGTTAATAATAAATGTTTAATTAGAAACAAATTTTATTATTTGTTTTGAAGCATAACAAAAATTAGTAAGGATCATTTTGGAATGCAGCCTTTCTTACAACATCGGTAGTATTTTTTTATCTCTTAGAATTACTCTGTAAGTTAGAAAAATTAAAGCTTTTTTCATTTCAAAAAGAAGCTTTCGGGAAAATACCGAGCACTATGGGGGAAGGTTTTCCGGTACTAGTGTGCGAGATGCAAATGCAAAAAGAAAAAATTAACTAAAATATTAAGCAAAGAATTTCTATGCATTTTGTCAGCAGCACAGCAGTTGTATGTGATTCATTTTTATTTTTTCCTTAGACAATTTTTTTTTGTTGTTTTTTTTTACTTTTTTAATATGTGCTTCTATTTGTGTTAGTACTTTTTTAGCTAATATTATCCGTATGCTATATAATATACATACTACATATATACTAGATATTTAGCAACTTTCCTTATCAGTAGTTTCCAAAATTGCCTGCGTGCCTTAAAGCCTTTAGTAAATTTTTTCTTATAAAATTCGTGTTGAAAAAATATTTGCATTGTTAGAAAGTATGCAGTTAGATTGAAAACGTTTGACTTTCCATACCACAAAATAAGTATTTAACTGTCTATATATCT